GACGTTTACTTCTTCTTGGATTTTCTTCATTAGGCATACCATCTGTTATTTCCTCCCAAGGTCGTTTTGACTTTTGGCAGTTCACTTCATTTTCCTTTTTATACGGATAAATAGTTTTAAAGAATTCAGCATTATCTGATTCTATTATCGTATTAATGTGAATCTCAGGATTTTCTGATTTATGAACCATAAAACGATATGCCTTGCTATTGGTTACATATCCAATAAACACACAATCAACTGTTTTGGACCTATCTTAACCCTTTTAGGTTTAGGAACTTGTACCTTAGCTAAACACCCCCACACTTTGAAGTATTTCAAGCTAGGCTTCTTTCCTTTCCACTTTTCATAAGGAATGGACTATGTTTTACTATGAGGTACACGGTTGATTATCCGGTTAGCTGTAAGTATAGCTTCCCCCCACAAGTTCTGTGGTAAGCCAGAACTTATTAGCAATGCATTCATCATCTCCTTCAATGTTCGATTCTTCCTCTCCGCAATTCCATTAGATTGTGGAGAGTAAGGGGCAGTTGTTTGGTGAATAATGCCATTTTCCAAACAAATTTCTTCAAAAGGAGATTCATATTCGCCACCCCTATCACTTCTTATCATTTTGATCTTTTTGTTTAGTTGCGTTTCAACTTCACTCTTGTATTGCTTGAAAGCATCAATTGCCTCATCTTTACTATTAAGTAAATAAACATAGCAGTATCTCGTGCTATCGTCAATAAAAGTAATAAAATACTTTTTCCCACCGCGAGATGGTGTTGACTTCATGTCGCAAATATCTGTGTGAATTAAGTCTAAAGGACTTGAATTCCTTTCAACGGACTTATAAGTATGCTTAGCATACTTTGATTCCACACACATTTGACATTTGGAATTAATGCAATCAAATTTTGGCAATACTTCTAGATTTATCATCTTCCGCAATGTTTTGAAGTTTACGTGACCTCCCGCGAATGCAATAAAGTGTTTGACTCAAGTAAGTAAGAAGAAATATTCACTTTATTGATAGGAACTGCTGTTATATTTAGCTTAAAAAGGCCCTCATTTAGGTAACCTTTTCCTACATATACATCGTTCTTACTAAGTACAAAACTATTAGAAACAAAAATACATTTGAATCCATTCTTGACAAGAAGTGAGGTAGACACAAGATTCTTGCGAATTTCTGGAATATGGGGGACTTGGTTTAGAGTCACTATTTTTCCCGACGTCATCTTCAACGCAATCTTTCCAACTCCTTCAATTTTAGCCGTAGATGAATTTCCCATGAAGATTGTCTCGTCGGGTCCTGCAAGGGCATAAGAAGAAAATAACTCCTTGTTAGCACAAACATGGCGGGTGGCTCCAGAATCTATCCATCATTCTTTTAGATATCCTACCAAATTGCATTCAAACAACATGGCACATAAGTCTTCCATTTCATCTTCAACCATGTTAGCTTGATTCTTTTTCTTCTTATCATTCTTGGGCGCACGAAAATCCACGGCCTTATGCCCAGATCTTCCACAGTTGTGGCAATTACCCTTGAACTTTTTCCTGCTTGGGTAATTCTTTGGTCCGGAAGCCTTCTTCCTCTTCTTATTTTGTGGCGCCTCCTCAACAACGTTTGCCCCCATTATTGTCGAGTTTCCACGTGACTTCTTTTCAGCATTTTTGTTGTCTTCTTCTATCCTCAAACGAACAATCAAGTCTTCTAGTGTCATCTCCTTCCGCTTGTGTTTAAGATAGTTCTTAAAATCCTTCCACAACGGAGGTAACTTTTCAATGAAAGCAGCGACTTGAAAGGCCTTATTTGTGACCATACCTTCAATAACAAATTCATAATTAATAATAAGATAAAATCTTATTAATAAAATTATTGATTCGGTCATACCTTCAGCAAGGAGGTCATGCACAATGACTTGTAATTCTTGGACTTGAGTTATGATTGACCTAGTGTCAATCATCTTGAAATCCAAAAACCTTGCAGCCACGAACTTCTTAAGTCCGACATCCTCAGTCTTGTACTTCTTCTCAAGCGCATTCCATAACGCTTTTGAAGTTTCCATGACACTATAGACATTGTACAAGTCATCTTCCAAACAACTCAATATGTAGTTTTAGCACAAGAAATCAGAATGTTTCCATGCTTCAGTTACAACAAGTCGTTCATCATCCGGAGTATTTTCAGCCATGACCGGAGGATCCTCCTTGATGAAACATCGCAAACTCAACGTAGTAAGATAGAAGAGCATCTTCATTTGCCAGCGTTTGAAGTCAATACCAAAAAACTTTCCGGGTTTTTCTGTCGGTGCCATAGCATGAGCAGGAGTATAACGGCTTGACGAGGCAGCAGCACTCGTAACAGTAGCACCCGTTCCCGTAACACTTCCATTAGTTTGGTTTTCATTCGTCATATTTCTGTAAAGTTGAAAACAATACAGAACTTATTAAATCAGTGAAGTTTTGATATCTTCAAACTGAATACCAAACCAAACATACAACACGTAACAATGGTGAAGTTTTTTATATACTTCAAACCTGTACGTTTATTATTCCGGCAAAGTTTTTATGTACTTTAAACCGGATAGAAACAATTATTGGAGTAGAAAGCAACAAGGCTTTAGTCTCCAACAAAGTATATAGAAAACAGTTTAATAATCAACACAAAAACGTTAGTACTTGTAAAATTCCTTAAGCTTGTAAATCGCTTTTGTGTGAAAACACAAAATTAGGAAGAAAATAAAAATAAAAAACTGTTAGAAGGAAAAACTGGAACAAAAAACAGTAAACAATAAGAAATATTCCAAGTCCACAATTTTCTTGTGCGTCCTTAAGGAATTTTGACCCCCTCACATGTTTCCAAGGTAATGGATTAAATCCTCCGAGGATAAAACAGAATAAACCTTCCTGCAACAGTGGCAATACAAACTGCAGGATACCAACGAACTCACAGAACGGAGCAAAATCACTTACGAATTTGAGAAAGAGAGACTGCGACTTAGGATGCACTGTATTCAGAAAGAAAGAAGTTCTGGAGTGTTTTTTTTTTGTATCTTGAAAATGGAGTCTTGCCTCAGAATTTATAAGCAATTATAAGAAGAGATGTCTCGAAAAAGGTACCTTTTCAGAAGAATACGCTGCTTGCCACGGTTCTACCGCGACCGCGGCAGAACCGCGGTCAGAGAGGCTCTCTGAATCTGCCTGCCGCGGTTCCACCGCGGTCGCTGTAGAACCGCGGCCAGAGAGACACACTGAATCTTCAGCAGGATTCTAGCGTATTTTCAGCAGTGATTTGGCATTTAATTAATTATTAAATAATTAAATAAATTTGGTCCAAAAAATAATCTTATCGATCATTTGCCAAAGCCAAAGCCAAAGCCGAGACGAGCGAGCGACGACGACGACGGCGCGAGGGTTCATTCTCTTCAACTCCTTTTAAGAGCTTTAAGAAGTGATTCTATATATAAGCACACAAATGTGGTTGTCCCTCACCAATGAGGGACAAAGTGCAAGACAAAAGTTCACTTCTTCAAATTTTTCATTTTCCCTCCATTTTATTTCCCTTCATTTCCAATTCACACTTCTTCTACTTTAAAGCCCAATGGCTTAAAGTCCAACAAAATTATCATAAATTAGATGGAGTGTTACAACTTACCTCAATATAAAGTTCTTGCAAATTCGGAGCACTTCTAATCAAACAGATAACAACAGATATCTGATCAAAGTCCATAAAGTTTATAGCTTTGAGTTCGATACTTTTTAATGAGTCTAGCGACGTTGATAGCATTTGCAGAACTTGAGTTTCAGCTAGGAACTGAAAGAACGATTCAACACATTTCAATCAGATTAGGTAAAGATAAACTTGATTTGAGCAGGAAAATTGACACTTATATGAAATTTCAGTAGTAGTACTAACCTGCAGAAACTTTCCATTTAGACGAAGTAGTTTGACTTTAGCCAAGCAATCCCCAAACTTACCCAAATTAGCGATAGGATTGTCTTCCAGTCCGATTACAGCTCTTTCCAGTGCAACAGTAACTTTAGTCAAGTTAGGAGCGTTTTCTAAGGAGATTGATTCGAACTTATCATCGGCCTTGATGCTCAATACCTTGAGTTTAGAGCCAATGATATTAAAATGACGAACACCGGAACACGCACTCACATGTAGTTTTTGAAGAAAAGGGCAGCTGGAGAGAAAACTTTCAAAACAGTTGTTTGCAAGGTGAACCCCGAAAAAAACTAATTTTTCAAGGTATAAGAAGCCCTTGAACTCTGGTGGAGGCGAAAAATCAAAATTACGGAGCTTCAAGTACGTCAAGTCCAGACAAGAAAAGAAATAAGGAGGTAACTTATGACGTACAAAATTCTTCTTGTATTCTAAGGTTAATTTCTTGATATTCTTTGTAGATAAATACAGCATCCATTTGTTCACATTAGGATACCCTACTGTACTGAACTTAGGAATGCATACTTTAAATCTCTCTATTCGGCCAGGATGAAGCATAAGAGAATTGGTGACAGTTTCGTTCAATTGATAGTTGAAAAATTTCCGAGTTTTCTTCTTGTTGGCGGAGTCAACAAGTTCTTTGCAGAATTGGTCATCAAACACTAATTGCGGAATGGTTAAGTAGTTTAATCTCCACTTCTTTGAGAGAACGCTCGTTCTTATAGCATCACGTATAGGCATTTTTCGTAGAATGCAATCTATTACATTCCTTGGCAACATAATCACTAAATTCGTTCTCATGCTCTTTTAGTCTCAAAAAGGAAAAACAAATCAATATACAACAATAACAATAACTATGCCTCAGTCCCAAGTAAGTTTGGTCTGGCGATATGAATCCTCATTCCTCTCATTTAGCTCAATTCATCATCGCCATTACCAAAATAGTATAAAAGTACGAGTAATAAAAAAAATCAAGTATTCAGAAGCAGAGTAGGAAGATATCTATTCATTCTAAAATAATCAAATATAATGAAACGCCAAAT